TCAGTGAGTTTCTCAACTGACCGCCATCCATGAGAAGATGCCGCTAAAATCAGCTCCGAATTTTCAGGTCGGTATGGCAGTCAGATTCGGCCGTGAAAGTCCATAAGGTGAAAAGTCTACTCGTATACCTCGTCTGTGCACAGATCATACGTGACCATTGTGAGACACTTCTGTGCAAGAATTAATATTACCAATGTTAATAAAATTGCGAGCAAAGCATAGAGAAGACTGAATATGTTCGATGGAACCTTTTATTCGAAAACTCTGGAGGCTGTAGAAAACCTCCTTACCATTTCAACATTATAGATTTAGTATAGAATGAGAATTCAACGCCGTTCACGGTGAGAAATAAAACTAACTATGCCGAGAGTTGCTTATTTGAAAGTGATCTAATCCTAAATCGATCTGTATTTGACGAGTGTGTCTGAATTTTTGTGAGAAATTAGTACACAATGAAATACTTTCGCGATTGCTACGATAAATGGAATGGTTTCTGAAGAACGCAGCCATTAGATCATATTATTTGTTATGTAATTAATAATTGTATTGATTACATACTAAATAATAATCCCCAGGTCTCACCACGTGGAGGTTGCTGCGAGTGGAGACCCGAAGGGAGATAGATGGAATCAAAGTTCCATCGATCTCCCTTTTAGCTAAGCTTAGCTGGATTACTAAACTAGAGAGATAGAAGATCTTCTAGTTTAGTTGTACCAAGTAATTATTTCGTTTGAACAGGGGTGAAGCTAAATTATGGGATACGCGACGCGACGCGATGCTGAACCGTGCGGCAGATCATCGGATCGAATCAACACTGCCCTTGGTAGATTGATTTCTATTTCTAGAAATCCTCTTCTCATGGATGGCGGTCAGTTGAGAAATTATTCACTGAATTAGTATTGATTGGCAAATAGCTGTAGTTTTGCGTAAATCCATGTGAGTTCACTATGAAAGGGATTAAAATTCATTTCTGGATCTGTTGGTAACGTTGCGAGTGACATAAAAATGGTAATGGGGTCCCGGGACCCCAGAAACTCGGGCCGAAAAATTACATTAGGTGAAAGGTCTATTCATATACCTCGTCTGTGGTGTAACTACTCTAAACAACTGCTTATCGATTGACGATATAATGAAATATTATGCGATAATAAAAATGGCCTGAACGACAAGTCAGGCAAAAAGGGCTTGCCACGGAACGTGTTAAAGCACGATGATCTTACGAGCTATGACCAACCGAACTACTAAAATCGGTAAAGTTATCAAACGTAGAAAAGTCTTTTCACAAACGAGGTATTCAAAGTCAACATCAAGGTATTATTGATTCAGAATGAAATTAAACTATAGTGCTATCAACTATGAGAATTATCCCGAGAATTATATTTATGTATACTAAACTATACGAGGAAGATCGCGGCAACTTGTTCATATTATTTGTTATGTAATTAGTACCTACTTACCAATACTGCGTTTGAAAAGATGCATTCGATACGATGTTTCGGTGTCATGGCGTCAATGGCGTCAATGGCATGGCGGCGTTCTCGAAATGCAACCAGAAACTGTAACAGAAATAAAATATAAATTATGATTAAATGCGTCAACATAAATGTACCTGTATCACGATTAAACAACGATTGAACTTGAAATATACTGCACTAGATTGTGTATGATTATATTTAGACAAATGTAATGACGATCAAACACGGTTAGATATTGAAAAAAACGCGCGAAACCGATGCTTCACGACTCTGATTCGATTCGTAATAGAAATGTATTAACATTAAACGAAGGCACCGTTAGAAAGTGGCCGAGAGTAATAGTGATTAAATGAGAACCGATTAGATGTCAATAGATAAAACGTACGTACCTTTTTATTAGTGAAATTATCGACACATCCTGCCACAACACTTTTCACATTACGGATGACGACATCGTCTCACTAGCAGCGACATCTCGAATTAGGCGGTAGGTGGGAGAAGGTCCAATGGCTCCGATTCCCGGTGTTTTCCCGAAGGTAAGGTTAAGCCTCGAGTCTCGAATAATATTGTTGATACTTGCGCTCGATGGTGCGTCAGGTAGAAATTACGACTCCAGAAGAATCCAGACAAAAATTTAGTTAGCAAATATTATCGACACTGAGATAAGGCGAAACGCAATCCGTGCTGATTCGAAACTTTCGTTGACCGGCTTCGTGACCAGCTGCGACGAGGTTTCCTATCGTTTGTTTATTTTCTGTTCAAGTGTTTTCTCGGAATTACCGGTCTTCCCAGAACTACGACCATCGCTCGTCTCTTATTACCGAAAGTACGAGGTCAGTGCTACGAAACAGATAAGGTTCTCAACGACTGTGAATATTTGTAAGTTTGTACAGTAAAATATTACACACGATAGATATAAAATAGCTGTCGAAATAATTATTTCTCTAAATACATAGTCTTAATTCTAACCGCCAATAGTGCAGTATTCGTATTCTTGTCTCAACCGATAACATTGAAAACAATACCTAAATGATCAGAGGTTTTTGTGCCCCCACTCCACATGACACGATAAACCATTGCCTGCAACGTTTATTCTATACTTTGTGATGAAACATCTATTGAGGTCTGCGTCTATTCTATACCCTGTATGTGATCCAGATTTCGATCGTTTCCAAATTAGTAATTCTCGACACACATACCTTTAATTCTCATCCGTAATAGCGTTGAATTCCTATTCCATTTTGTATCGATAACCATAAATTTGACAACAATATTATGACGTGGTTCATGAACCCATCGAAACGTGTTATCACAAACGAAATATGGAATTGTGCCTCGTCTTTGTCGTGACACATTCTTTTATTTAATTAGTGAATCTATTCTATACCTCGTGTGTGGCATAACTGATGAAGGATAAAATAGTAGATAAGTCTATGTTATCTGCAATTCATAAACGCAAAAACGATTAAGTTATAAGTAAAAACGACATATTGTAAACCTTTCATTATCGTCTCCCATCGTTCCTTTCTAAAGAAAATCATTTTGTTATTATGCACACCCATTATAACACTACGCGAATTCGTGGTCTATTATTATCATATTTTCTATTTTAATGTGATTCTATCATTTTACATAATTGAACACGTGTCGATTTCATGACAATTTTTATCATTTTTATTGCATCGATTTTACCGACTAATGAAACAATAGTGCGCTTTGAGTCGCCAGATGGTGCAACAAGCCCAACCGTAGCCTGAAAATATCAATATTTCCGAGACAAATCGACAACTGTAACCTCTCTTACATACATTACAAACAAAAAAATATCTTGCTTGATATGTTATGGAATAAGATTTCTGTGATATGTAAAAAAATATTTAGCATTTTTTGTCCGTTACACAACAAATGTTTTTTTATTGTGAAAGTAATGATGTCGATGCACCGGAAATGACTGAGAATTGAGAGGGAAAACCATATATTTTTAGTAAAAGTTCATAATGCTGATAATTTATGTTAAAAAACCACGCATTTTTACACACAATAATCGCGTAAAGTTATCGCAGTAGCGTGTGCTAACGATAAATTGTTTATTGCCATAAAATAGTGACCGTAATAGTTGACGATAAGCCAAGGACTCGAGGTGAATTCGCGTAAATGAAACCGCCATTTTAAAACGTTCAAACACCCGTGGCGGCACTACGTTCCGACGTGTCATCAGTAAATATTTTTTCTAGATTAAAATAAAAGAAAATGAATACGTAGATCGTTTCGAAAAAATTTTAAATGTATTTTAAGCAGGTTTCTGAAATAAATTTATATGAAATTTTACCGAGAAATTCCTCTTGCAATGTACCTGCCACATTAGATACAGCCAGCGTCAAAAGTATTTCCGACGAAAACACCGCAATTTCTGGCTGGTTGCGTCAGATGATAAAATCGAGCATGGCGCTTCCTGAGAAATATTTTCTTCGTAAAAAACTAATACGATTATGTGAATGCAGTATCTCCCTACGGGTTACGGTTGAAAAGATATGAATTTCCAAAGATTATTTACTACAGGCATCCTTTCGAACGTGTTGAACGTTACTGTACCACTAAAGCGAGGAAGAAACCGAGTGGTCGGTTCGACAGTCGCGGCCTATTAAAATATCGCACTGATTGGATGCAATTATACGTGAATGTATCAATTTTTAGATATGATAAATACGTTTTTGCTCCATATACCTATTATGTACGTAGATCGTGACGAAACGAGTAATATCGTCATGGTTCCATGACACACGAAATTCCTCGTTTCATAAACAGAACGGTAGAAATTGTTTTAGATAAAGATAATGAAGTCAATGATGTAGATGATAGAAGCGAGACACAGGAGAAAAACCATCGATTTTATTAACAATAGTACTCGGCGAGCTTTATCCGGCTTCACGAACCTAGAATTGTAATCAACATTTAATAAACCAGTTTTTTTTTTTTTGCATATCTGTAGAATGTATACTGATTGTCATATGATGCGACTATATGCTTGACGCTACGAATCCCGGAGTGGTCGCTTTGTACAGTCCGTTATGATAAAATTGCTTCAAGGATTGGGAAAAATCATATTTCGATCCGTTAAATCGCAATATTACGCATGGGGCGTCATGAGAAACTTGTAGAGAAAAAAAAACTGACCCGATTTGGTGTATATAATATCAGCCTTAAACATCGGTGAAAGATGTTATGGATTATTGAAAATATATTTTCTGGAAGAAACAGCAGTAGGTGTACGAGACGACTGTACCGTAGACGCCACCGGCAGCCACGAGCGGTCGCTTGCGGTACAGTCGAAATAAAGAGGCTCTCGCGAACGTGTTGGCAGAACGTCGAAATAGGATCGTTCGATCGCAAAATTACGAGTGGGGCGTCATGAGAAACTTGTAGAGAAAAAAAAACTAATACGATTTGGTGTATATAGTATTCCGTTTTAACGTGCCCCTGACGAGTTATCCGTTTTTAAAGTTTCGTATTCCTAACGTATATCGGTCCGGTATTGAACGTGACTGTACCAACGGACGCTACGGGAGTCCGCAGCCGGCATAGGTTCAGTTGGCAGCAGTACGCACAACGAGAAGCACGACCATGGCTGATATTTCGAACGAAGAACTTCGCAAGGAGATCACCGGTAAGTGGTGATATCCTTCGATTTACCGAACCGCGGACCCCGATTATTGTAAAACTAAGCTCGTAATCGCGTGTGCCGTAAATTATTCGCGCGTTCGTGAGTAGGAATACGTAGGAAATCGGGCTCTTTGCTCTTACGACGCGACGACTTAGCGCGCACGTATGAGACGAAGTGGCGTGCCCCACGCCGGCCATTGCAACCGTGATACAACATTGTCTTACCACCTACGTACCGCTTCATCGAATTATTATATCGCATTATCGTTCCGTACGATCTGTTCCTGATTTTTCGACAAAATTTTTCGATGCCTTGGAAGATTCTCGATTTTCCCTCGGTTTTCCAACAGTGATCGGTTTCCCCCATCCTTCCATGGTATACGTTGTATGACGCGTCTGGCTGTGGTGGCGCGCGCCAGAAGCCATCGCATGCTTCCTCGTATCTCGCCTCTTTTTCTAGTCTTCTACGTTTGCACTGCGAAAACCGATCTCGAGATGGACCGTGGCCTCGTTTTCCTGGATATTTCGACGAATCTTGTTTTCGTATTTTTCTTTTTTATTATACCAATCCAGATATAGCATCGTTCCTCGAATTCGTTCGTTACGCTCGTAGTTCGGGGGGTACGTGTTGCCGAGAATATTCGCTGGTCCGTGTCTTTTCCCGCCGTTCGTGAACGACTCCGAATGCTTGCGATATTTCGTCGTCGCTTTTATCTCTTCGTAGGATTCTTGCTCGTCGCCGTTGATCTCCTCAGACTCTTCCGCGAATCGAAGAGTCACATATCACCGATCGAGTCGAATCCGTGTCGTGTTCGCATGCAACGAACTTTTAGCGATTTCCCATCGTGCTACGACTCGATGCATCTCTACGATCGATCGGTCAATGCAAAGGAGGCAGTTTCAGGACCGGGAACGACACGCTAAATTTTCAACGCGTGTCTTACTTTCAGAAATTTTTTTATTGCAAACGGTTAATGTGAAACCGGTGGCAGCGGATAGCCGCCATTTGCACTCAATATTTACTAGGCTTCCAACGCGGGAAACCACATTGCCCCAGATTCTGTTCGATGTATATTGCCCGTCAAATTTCTTATTTTCGAAAAATAATTTACGAATTCAACGATGAAACCCGACTTACCAAATTTTTATCGAAATCATTGTCTCTCGTATGTTAGAAAATTTGACACATGTATTTGTAAAATGTATATAAATATAATTGAAATTTATTGTTTGTAAAAATAAATTTTACGTTTTGAAACAATTGAATGTGTATTTTTGAAAAAGAAAAACAATTATTTATTTCTTGTAGCTATCCTTAAGGATGCGGACCTTACTACTATGTCTGCTAAGAAAGTGAGGCTACAAATTGAAGGGAAACTCGACATAGATCTCACAGAAAGGTAAGATAAGAAATTATCATCACGCAAGATTCTACGAATATTCGAATTTTCTGTTTATATTGTAAGAAAAGTTTGAAGTATTTTTAAATAAAATATGAATGTTGTTTGGATACAGCAGGCACTTGTGTAGTTTCAAATGACTCATGAGTTAGTCCATCTGTGTCCTAGATAAAATGAAGGATTTCTGTGCGGAACTGTATGTCTAAGTTACCACCTCGTTCCTCCTTCAACATTTCCTTTACGAATAAATTTTTCCTGATGATGTGTAATAGTATAAGTGCCATATTAACCAAAACGCGTACAATATCTATAGGAAAAAGGAAGTAGACAGTTTAGTCATGGAGTGTTTACACGAGAAGCAAGATGGTGCAAAGAAGAAGAAGAAGACTGCCAGCGAGGAATCCGAAGATGGAGAGGAAGAGGAAGAGGAAGGATCGGAGGAGGAGGAAGAGGAGGAAGAGAAAAAGCCCACTAAGAGGAGTCCCGCAAAGAAAGCAGTGAACAAACGTAAGGGATCCTCAGACGACGAAGAAAGTGCTAGCGATGACGATGCCAGCGACGAGGAGTATAGCCCAAAGAAGCCAAAAATTACACCCAAGAAAAGTACGTAGAGAAAATATGTTGAAAGTACTTGGAAATTATTTGTGTCGTTGAATATTCTCGATATAAATTCATATATCGTTTGTATCAGGTAAGCCTGGGAAAAAGGGAAAGAAGAAGGGTAGCGACAGCGATAGCGACGAAGATTGGGGTAAAAACAAGAAAGGTCAAGGAGGCGGTGGAGCAAAGAAGGGTGGTGGTGGTGGTAAAGGTAAGGGTGGCTACACTCGTGCTATCACATTGTCTCCCGAACTCGCAGCTGTGGTTGGTGCTGAGCAGATGGCTCGGCACGAAGTCGTGAAGAAAGTCTGGAGTATTATCAAAGAAAGAAATCTGTATGTAAGTATCAGACTTGGCACATTTATCCTGCAACGTATTTCATTTTTTATAGTTTAGAGACCGGATATATATATGCTGCTGTTTTACAGGATCCTAAGAATAAGCAGTTCGCAATCTGCGACGACGAATTAATGAAAGTAATTGGAGTAAAACGTTTCAGAACTTTTGGTATGATGAAGTACCTCAAAAATCACTTTGTAGATTAAATCATCCCTGAAACCACGGTCTCTGACAGGTTATAAACATTGTATAACATATTCCAAGGTGCAAAGTGCATCTCTCCATCTTTCTCACACAATACATACATAAATACATATACATACAAACACACGAACATGTTTCTTGCGACTTAAGACGTTAGCCATGTTTACACCATTCCGATATACTCTGTTGTCCATGGTAGCTGCTTTGTCCCATTAAACGTTTGCAATGTAGCACTTTAATTTATGGGCATTATTAAAACAAACGGCTCGTTAACATTGTCAATAACAGCCTCGGCATAATGCGTATGCAAATGATGACCCACAAGTAGGAATCCGTGTAGATTCGGTCAACATCGACATGAAAAGGTAGAGCCGATACCATGGACCTTTGGATGATTTCGAAATGTGGAAGACATTAAAATGGCCGATAGTCAATAAGCTGGTTTTAAGTCAACATATTAAGAATTAACGTTTTATCGTTTGCCTCGTGGTTCTCGTAAATAGCCCTTTTCACCGAGTATGAAAATACAGTGTGCCATAGTGGCAGTAAAAAATTTGAGCAGCAAAAAGCGCTTGAAATTATTTTAAAGTGGCTTATTCTTCCCCGCCCTCCCCCTTTAATTTTTTTTTTTTTTTTTTATTTTATTATGTGATAATTTGAAGGAATAAGATAATTGTAAACTGTCGAATACGAATATTTTCGAGGTTAATGTATTTATTTTGTATTTGTTCGAAAACTTAATTTTGTCGGATTGCAAACTGCCGCCCAAGTATCACACAATATTTTCATTCATTCTTATTCTAACGCGAATTACTTTTCGATAATGGATGTAATAGAGAGAGAGAAAGACACACGATTTTGTCAACAAATGAGAGAAAAAACTATGTGGTAAAGTTGGCGAAAGTGCGGTAAAAAAGTAAAAAAAAAGACGATGCGAAAAAATCAACATCCTGTACCTCTTCTGTATAATAGCTACATTATACACTGAAATTATTACTAAGCGAAATTTAATTGTATTAACGTGTAATTACTAATTATTGTCGTAATATAGGTTTCTTGGTGTAAAAAATTGACCTAACTCTTAAGATGTAATGGTATCCAGTGAAGGTACGATGTATGCATATTCAAAATCACAGTATGTGCTGCACTGCGCGATATTGAAATATAGAAAATAGATTCACGGCGCGAGGTACGAAATTAATTCTGGATAAGGATATCCATATCTCGATGTATGGGAAATTCCTTATATTTTGAATATAAATTAATGAACGATGGCCTAAATTGATTAGGGCCACGGAGGAAGAAATCAATGGAAACATTTGACGATAACGAAAAGAAACATAAAGGTACAGATTAAAAAACGAAACGTATGTACACAGTATGACAATTATAATATCAGTTTGTTTTCTAAAGGAAAGGAAGTGCGGTTTGTGCCCTGATATTTCGTGAATGTATTTGAGAACATCATTAAAAGATACTGCTTTCATTTTTTTTAACGGTGCTATTTGTACGTTCATTTCCCAGCGAATGATCCTCTGAAACCCTCTTCTATCCAATGGGTTCCTCAAAATTTCTGGAAAGCTTCACGTCCTGGAATACGTAGATCTGGAAATTCACAAATGTTCCAGTTCATCTTCCAGAAAAGATAAAACGTGTTGATCGTCATCGCGGCGTCCTCGTAGGCCATATATGTAAGTCAAAAGCTTCTTTGTGTTCGTGTAATTATCTCTTCTTGTTTGAACTTCTTTGTCTCGGGGTGGAGCAGCTTGTACATAAACACCGTATCGGAAATTCGACTTGTACGTTTGCGTGCTGCGCGTTACGCATCGACCTATGCTTGCCTAAAAAAGAAACAAATAACGTTCTTCCCTCTTTGACGTTTATCGTTAATCGGCATTACTTACCAAATGCAACGCTCTGCGTCTCAATTCCCAGATATTCGAAGAATAGTCTTTGTCAATAAACTGAGGAAGAATATGAACGTCCGTTTGAACTGTTTGATTCTGACAAATCTTCAATTGGGGTCCTCCTTCCGATACCCTTGCCAATCGTGACGTTAATATCTCGCCAGTTTCAATGTATTTATTTACTTATATTCTAAAATACTTACACGGTTTGTGCTTTCAGTGCCATGACGTCTTCGTACAATTGGAACAAGTACACGTATTCCAGATGATTGCGTACGAAATCGAGAGCTTCGTAAACGTATCTGTCGACGATAATATTTACTGATGTTTTACGTCATTGTTTACCTACGCTCGTCGAAGCTACCTGTCCGGATCATTCCCGAAATTCTCGGCCGCTATCCTTGAACTGAACACGTAATATTTTCCTCTCCATTTGGCGACTCCATTGTTTGGATTTCCCGGGATCAGCGCTCCTTGTCCGAGAACGAACGTCCACGCGCAAAATCCAAGGAACTGTATGAGAGAAAGAGAGAAAGAAAGAGAGAGAGAGAGAGAGAGAGCGAGCGAGCGAGCGAGAGAAGAAAAGTGAATTAATTAACCTAGGTAAGTCACGTTCAACATGAACTTCGGTGCACTGTGCAAACATTGATTTCGCTCCGTCGTGCGTAATCTTACCTCCAGATTTATGTTCTCGAAGTCCTTGGTAGTGTTGGGATAGTAAAGGGTACACTCGCCGCATTCGGCTGTAAAGAGAGATCATAATGTTAGTGCACCACGTGCAGCTATCCGACGATTCGTCAAATCGTTTCATTACTTATTAAAGTGTCCATAGATCGTTCCAATCTCTCAGCGTCCGTGAGAACTTCATCCTTGGACAACATGTCGTCCAAGATCGTTTCGTTGTCCAAGTTGACAGACTACGATAAATATGTTTAACGTTCGGTTCGCCATAGACAAGCATACGATTAAGTTCGATAATTACCCTGGTACTCAAATATTGCAATTCCCAAAGAAAATTATTGATGCTGCTCAGTATAATCACTTCGTCCTGGAGTCCCATCCATATGTCCGCTAGATCGATGAATTGCGGCTGGACAATTCCGAAAATGTGATTTCACGCGGAAAGGGAATCCTCGAGGAAAGATTTACGAAAGATTTACGTATGCTTACGTATACTTGAGCAGTGGGGATGGCAGTTTTGTATCTTACGGTGTCGTGAAGCTTAAAGAGACGCCCTTTGAGACGTTCCATCAGATTATCTACCTCCTTTTCGCTACGTTCCGCGTCGCTCAACAATTTCCTGGCAAGAATAACGATTAATTGTCGAAGCGAACGTTAAACTCGCGCTAACTAAATTCCGAGGGAATCAACCTGACGTAAATTTCTTGTTGGCGACATGTTGCCAGCATCTCTGTAGCCCATTGGATATTACTCGTGATAAAAACGCCAAACGGTATTATTTCTCGGTAATGATACGCCTTCTCCACGGCTGCGGTGAATCTGTAAATCTTTGACATAAGACTCTCCAAATAATTCATGATGGAATCGTGGGTTCTTTTTGTGGCTTCTTGCAAAATTGCTGGTACTGGAAAGACATCGTATCGTTAGCGGATCGATTTCTTCTTGGCGCACCGTTCGTTTCAACGGTTGCGACATGAACTCACGATCGTCGATGCCATCTCCGCCGCGTTGGCAATCTCGGTTGAACAGACGTATACCCGCGACTATGCACATCAGTTCCATCAGCTGTTCTTCCTTCTCGCGTTTAGACATTTTCACGTACGATTCCAGTTCCGATGGCTGGAAGACGCTTTGGAGCGCCACCGAAACTTCGCTGCCGAGTAATTGTATCGGTAAGATGTTCATTCGTTGTTCAATCCTCTCAATATTGACTCTACGATCTTGACATAACAGATCCTGGTCTGCTTTCGACTATTTTTACTTTATTATGTCTACTTTAGCATTGAAATTTGTTACCGAAGTACAGACGATACAGTAGGATTCCCGAGACCACTTAGAACTGTAATGACCACCAACATTTTCTGATAGAGTCTTTCAGACTCTTGTTTGTTAGCGACGTTGTCGGTCACGCAAATTTCTGCAACCATCGGTCCAGTCTTCTGATGTAGACGTAGCCTGTGTCGCTTAACAGTTTCATCTGAATAGATAATTTTTATTCTTTGCATTATTTGAAACTGTCTTCTTCAGTGCAATACCAAGAATCTTTTAAATTGTACCGTAAATTTGAAAAAAGGGGAATAACGTTTGAACATCTCACCTCTCTCGTGATAGTGTTTAGCAAAGTACAATTGATTCTTCAGTATCGTTAAACTTGGTTTGTCTTGATCGCATATCCTTTTGGTTATCGCCTGAACGAGTTTCTCGTCTTCGTCGTCGTCCGTTTTAATTTCGTAAATGGGATTCAATAGGAACAGAGTGATCTGCGATAAAGTGTGAACGCGTATTGCGTCGAAAAGAGCATATTAATAATTCTTAACTTAGGTTAACTCGAAATTGGAATTTGACTAGTACTCACCAGGAAGGAAGCGAAATCCTTAGTCGCGTGCACGCCGTTTTCCTTGCACGCGTTCACGATTTTCTTGATCAATTCCCTTCGCGAGTTTTCCATCGTTAAAATTCAAAACGTCGGATATAGACACGAATTTTAATATTTCAGATTCTCGTCGACCCGGTTGCGATTCGTTTTCGCATGCTGTTTGATCGATATTCACGAATCGCGACGAGGCGAACGTTCGCGACAACATTTGTAATATTAACTTCTCGTTTCTGAGAAATGTTCTCTCGAAAGCTTCATATCGAATTCCCTCTGAAAAGCGGGTTACAGTCGTCGAACGAAGCTCTATTTTCGTCGTAGGATAAGTTTCAAGGAGGAATTCGAATATACGATTCTTCTTTTCAATCGTAAATACGAGTTGGGGCCATCGAACGAAGAACATTTTAATAGTTATCGATTTTTAAAGCACGGAGAAACGTTAAGGACGTTTTTGAATAATTCAAATATCTCTGTGTCATATGTTTCCCTTTGCATTATACCGATTGTCTCGTTCGCCTTTGTTCGTATCTTTCCCATTCCGTGGAGATTATTCAGGTGTTTTACTTCCGAGGTAGATTGCTCTGTACAGGATGTCTGAGTAATAGTCATTGTAGTTTATATATATATCCTTTGTAAAGTTTGTGCAGATAGAATATTGAATTCAGGGGCACATAACAAACAGAAATACTCCTCATAATAAATTTATACAATATAAAGAAACCACAAACTGTTATCTGTGCATTTAAATAATTGTAAATCTAGCACAAGTTTGTACATATCATTTTGGTCAATTACTCTAATAGAATTAAGCTAAGATAACAAGGTAAATGTCTTATCTATACTTAGAGAACCATCCTAATTAAACACAGTCTACACTGAAATTCGTATTATCAAGACTTACATGACATATAAGCCTTGATAAAACTTATTATAGACTGTGTTTGATCAGAATGACTTTGTAAATAACGATAAGGTAGTTATCTTATAAAATGTTGCATATAGAGTTGCGTTGGAGGCTCACTCAGCCGAGAGCACATACATTCAAAAAATTTTCACAATTATTTTTGTACGATAACGGAATATCGCGCAAAAAATATTTGATTCAATACTCTGCATTTATTTTCTTGTAGAATCGCTTTTTACATTGTTTTACTATGCATGTTGCAACATCATAGTTGATTTATAAACTTCTATATACGTTTAAAATCGTGAATTACAGAAAAGAATAACGTAAAGCGGTTTGTATAAGGCGCCCTACGAGCTCGGGTAAGTTCGGGCGCGGTCGTGAGGTTCGATGGCTCGATACGCGGGAGTGGTGGGGGCCGAGGTCCTGTCAGAGGTGTCGCGACAGTCTGGACCGGCGGTGGAGTCGGGTTGGGTGGTCAGTACCGTGTGGTGCGCGTTACGAAAGAGGATAGAGAGGACGGAACGCAAGTACGCGATAAAAGGGGTTGTCATGACGTTCGCGTGAGACTCGTGCACTGCGAATCGTCGCCGAGAAACATGCCGAGTGATATCTGGTGCTCGAATTGGCGATGTACCGTCAGTGGTGCGACGGTGCAGTGCAAGTTGGTGCTGGTTTTGGTGCTGGTCGCGATCCTACCTGACGTGTACACCGAGACTCAGGGTAAGTCTACGCAATTTTTTTTTTCTTCCGCGCGACGAATCGAACAACAACGAGCCGGACAAGACGATCGCGTGCATTCGCGGTGTCTCTTACGAACGACGAGCTACTCTTTCGGAGTTTGAAACTCGATTTGCCCTCGGAACGTTTCGAGGTAACGAAGTGTAATTTTGTCTCGAGTTGTTCGACCGTCGCGTGCACTCTGTGACTAATTCTCATTGACAATGTGAATCTTAAGTGACGATTAGCTGCGTCTCCCGTGACATTCGTGCGCTGTTCAATCGTACCGTGTTGTATTTATGACGTGTTCGTACGTGTTCAAACGCGTTGCACAGATGCACGTCTTGTTTTCGTTGCACGCGTTGCCACGACAAAAGAAACTTCAAAACATCTGGTAGTTATTCCTTACGGTCGGTTTATTGTTTAGACGAAATTGGTAGACGATGTAGGGGAGATTTAATGTATGTGCATCGTTAATCGCGCGCGACGAAGACTTTCTACCAACCAAACAATGCAAATTCCGCCAACGAACGCGTGCGTTAACAGTATCAGCACCCCGCTATTATCGTTAGATTCTTTTTTCTCTCGACGAGGGATAAAACAAAGCCAACTGATAATCTGTTGCTCGGTGTATCGAAAAGAGTCGTCGTCGAATAAATAAAGGAATTATAATAACCAGTAAGGCCATCGCGTTTTCGAAGGATTAGCGGGAGGAGGGTCATCAAACGGATCGATGAAGATTTACAAGTAAACCGTATACGAAAATACGCAATGCGTAGCAATCTTATCGAAGATTTACAAAAATCTATTTCAATTGTTAGTCGATACACGGTGTATCGAATAGAAATATTATCGTGTTTCTTCCGTTGGAATTTGTTTAGCGAGCAACAACGTTCGCTAGTCACAGAAAGTAGAGGTTAGGAACAAAGGCGGGAAATAGCTATTCGCGGTAAAAGGTGCATGCGAAAATTCGACAACTTCGATTTGAACATTTAGAAAAAGGTTAGGTTGCATATTAATTTTCTCGAAAGAAACTATTCCGTTCTCGGTTTCACTTCGAACGAGGATGTTTTCGGAAGCGTTGCGCGTTGCGTTCAACTTGAAAGAAAAATGAAGAAAACGCTAGCGCATTGTCGTGGCTGAACATAGAAGCGCAAACGGTTGACTCACAATCAACCCATTGCTCGCCACGAAGACATTGTTTCCAAGTCGCAGGCTCGTTGCCAGTGATGCAAGTAGTATCCAAACCAAGTAGAATATATTCGAAGCTTAGGTTAGGTGCTTTGTGCTGTTTTATTATGTTGACAAAATCGTTAGAAAATATTTGTTAATATTTTATCTATAATTTTATCGAAATACATCGAACAGTTTTCGAATTATGGTGGAATAAATATTCAAACGAACAAAAATATCAAATATTCGCAGAAGAAACAAAATTACAAGCATACTTAACCTTTTAAATTTATTTATATTAGATAAGAAGCTGATTGTCCTTTAATGCGAGGTTTATTTTTAAATTTACCGTAATACTTTTTGATATGCATTATGCGTCTTTTCGCTTGCTCGCTCATAAGAACGGAAGAAAAAGTAGCCCAGTCTAAGTATGAAGGCTTTCTACGAGTGCACGTAATCTTATCGGAATCGAACTAAATAATCCATTTGCAATTTTGTCTTTAAAAATGGCTGCTGCAAACTATCGTAAAATCTTAGCAGATTTTACGTACCCACGCAAAATTCTTAACAGCCAGATTGCTTATCGCCTTGTTCCACAGCAACTGCGCTTAAATGCACTCTCGAGAGCAATAAGTAATTTCCCTCTATTTAGACCGAAACTGAACGCTCGGAGATAGAGAGATATTAACAACTTTCTACGCATATGTAATTCTGCCAATTAGTATTGCAATCTGAAATGGGCAGAATTTTATTCGACCAATAGAAGACGAGGAAGACAACCATATGTGTAGTTTCAATGTAGTTTTACTAGCTTACCGTGGAATGTACCATTGTACAATTTACATTCCAAATCTTTATTCAACGGATAGAAAATGGTTTTCATTTTTCAGATTGCAATTACCTAGAATTTTATAATTAATAGACAAGGTTTTAAATCGAACGATAGCATGTTTCTAATCTGTAGTACCAATTATTTCGTCTTAACCAACTTTGCCCTAACTTTGCTTCGAGACAGTTTCTGAAACTTGGTATGTGACCCAAAAAGCACAACGCGGTGAAAATTAGGGTTAAGAATACCTGGGCGTCCTTTAGACGCGACGTCCAACGACTATTAATGTGCTACTGACGAAATTGATATTTAATCGTCGATTAATAATAGTCGCGTATTGGAAATAGAATACGAAGAACGAACGAAAGGCGATTTTCTCGCGCTCGATGAGAGCGTCGAGCGCTATGAAATCCGTCGGTGAAGCTGGTTTCCTACGAAAGCGTTTCTGCGTTTCGTTTTCTAGATACGGAAACGAGCTTGACGATTCTCAACCGAAAAGAAAAGGCCTCAACAACGGCTTAATTATTCACGGCGGCGCGCGATCTCGCGGCCCGCGTTCGTTATTTTCTCGTCCTTCTCGGAACGCTCGACGAGCCGTGAAGGCACTCGTCGAGAGTCCTTGAGAGTGCCTATCGCTCGTCCACTCCGTCGGCTGTTACAGATTTTGTGCGATGATTCGACCATTCTTCGCGAAACTACATTTTCCTCGGCCGCGTACCGTGTTTTTCCGCCCATTTGTTTCTTCCCGGGGACACCGCGAGCGTATCGTATAACTTCGTATTCGATAGCGTCTAGATCCTTGCGCTTCTTTCGTTGCCTGTTGAATCCTCTCCACACATTCGCTCGCTAGAGGGTCTCTCGCTGCGTACAGTGTTTCGTTACAAGGCACGACTTGTAACGAAACAGTTCCCCGTTTTACGTTCCCTCTGTTCTTTGCACTGAGTTCCATACTTTTAAACTGTTTTATCTTCTGAAACAGGATGTCGTAATCGAAAGCTCGAGCGAACTTTATGGTTTGCCCCGTCAACTACGAAACCAGTGGAAAAAAAAAATTTCAAATCGTTTTGGAAAAATTATTTTTGGTTACGGGGGTCAATTGCAATAATTTTTGGTGAATAGACATATCCCCGAAATCCTGCGCATTTTCGAGAAAAAAATTCAGTACGAGCGGAAGTTTAATAACTTTTTAACAAAGCCTCCATCAACAAATTGGTATTCTTGATTTTCGTCCCTAAAATCCCTCATTAAAATTTTTTCGAGGTGTGATCGAACACCCTGTACATCTAGACCGTCGTGACTTGTCTTACGGAACAACGAGGTGATTTATTCGTTCCAACAGAGAATAAAAATATTGTTCTTGCAGCGAAGATCGAGAAACAGTGATCCTAGCCAGGAGTAAACAGAGATCGTGGGAGATGGCTCGTAGGTAGTCGAAAGTCTGGGACGTCGCGTGATTCATTGGTAGGAGTCGAGTTCCATACACACTGGAAGCAAACCGATCGACCGTAATCGATGATTAATCCATCCTACCCGAAGGCGTCGACGCGGTCGAGTGGTTCTTCTAGTTGACGAGGTGTGTACGCGCGCACAAACCACTCCGTTTGTATTGCAAGAGCATTGTAGAACGAGGAAGCTCGTTTCCGCTCTTCCTGCCGTGGAAATACTTTCGTTCCTCGTTCTGCAGCCTCTCGCGGCATAGAATTCGAAATACATTGTTCCAGCGCGCGACTGTTACGACGACTTTAATACAAATTTAACCGCGCTGGTTAATTTGCATCGAGGCTTCGGCGGGGAAACAAATTCGCGGACGGAACCGGTTTCGCGAACCTCTGCGCTCGTAAACGCTCGGTGCAGCTGGGCCACGTGGCAAACATCCGCCTGGTATATTGTATATTTCGGTAGTTATTTCTATGCAAAGTAATTAGAACCGAACCTTGCAGATATTTATTATTATGCGTTAAAATTGCTGGTAATTATTTTGATACAGGGTCGTATTTCAGTACAAGGTTTCTGGTCGAATTGTTTATCTGTTTTTATATTTCCCGGTAGATTGTGCTTACGTTGAATAATTTTTAGGTGCATATTAGGCAACAGCCCCGAAATACGTATTCTTACGAGGAAAGATAAAAGATCGTTATCTGGACACGAATCCGAGGGGACCAGCAGAGGAAAAGGTTATTTCGAGATATTCCACGCATCTCGTTCGGATACTCGAAATTCGAGTCGCGTTCCACGGGTTGCGTAAACGCGATTAAGCGCTTCTTCGAGTCGATTACTCATCGATCGCAACAGGCGACGCGATGACGTCGCGACTTCCGTTCGCCAATTCTCGCTGTTCCGGTTTTTCTCGCGAGGCGATCGAAACGATTCCGAGAAAAACCGCCGCGCCCAACGTCTCGCGACTCATCCACCGATGCTTGTATATTTAATACGTCATAATTTCATTTAATGGTAATTATACATATTTACAATTTAAACATTAATAAATCATGATGGGAAATTTGCATCCGGCGCGGTGATTTGTGTCCGAAACACGCGTCGCGGAACGGAATTGGACGTCATTCGTTTCAACGGTTGATAAATAATGCATAATGGAAAATGAGCGAATCGGATATTACCTTTTGAACCGTGTCTTAACAATATTTCGAAAATACCGTGAACCGTAATCATTTAACGCCGGCACGGTCTATTTATTAGCAGACGCGGGACTCGTTGAAAGTCCCCAGGGGCTTCGGGCTACTTGGACCGTGAGTTTCCATTCGCGTCGGTCTCCGGGAGGCGCGAAGATTAAGTAAAAGCAACGATTAAACGGCGAAATGTTCGCGTCAAGCGACGCCAGCTCGCGGGGCATAACCGTTCTGTATTTGCTTTAAACGAGCTAAAACGATTTCCATCAGTGTCGATCGTGGCAGCCCCTCTCTGCGTCGCGTCGTTCATTAAGTGGCCAGCCGTAATTATAAGCGGCGTCTATAACGGAGAAGGTCGATTCACCGCAAGTTCC